TTAAATATTAATAACGACGAATAGCGGGAGAAGAGCGATATGGAAATGTGCGGTTTAGCGATGCTTATTGTTGTTTGTGCAGCGAAGAATTTATAACCGCTACGACGAGTGACGCGCGCAACGATGGTCCAAAAATTGTGTTGTTTATGCACGCACCTTTGCATAAGCTGCTGATTAGCGGTGCGTTAGCAACAGCAATGAAGTGCAATGCAGCGACGAAAGTACAATGTAGAGCGAACGAAGCATGAGTAATGAAAAGTATGAGCCNTTGTTTGTGCAGCGAAGAATTTATAACCGCTACGACGAGTGACGCGCGCAACGATGGTCCAAAAATTGTGTTGTTTATGCACGCACCTTTGCATAAGCTGCTGATTAGCGGTGCGTTAGCAACAGCAATGAAGTGCAATGCAGCGACGAAAGTACAATGTAGAGCGACCGAAGCATGAGTAATGAAAAGTATGAGCCAGTGGCTTAGCTATCGAAAACGAAAGTGCGAAGGGTTTGCGACGACAGGTATAGTGAGAGCTTAACGCTCGAACATTCTCCCCCCCCTTGGAAGCTTGGTTCCAACTATTGAGGTTGCGGCGACGACGAATCGATAGGTAGCTTGCATACACGAGTTATGGCTCTCTTATATGTTCCATCAGCGGTTTTCCACTCGTACTGCACCATCTTTTCCAGCGAAAATATCGTCCACTCTACCCAGTGGCCACTTCATAGGGGGTGTGGATTCTTGCTTGATAAGAACCATGTCGTTCTTCTGCAAATTTTGACATGTAGTCTTCCACTTTGTGCGCTGCTGGAGTTCCTTTAAATATCCCTGCCGCCATCGTTCCCAAAAGCCTTGTTGTACTGATTGAACAATTTGGTACCTGGCGAGTAATCCAGTAGAAGTTTGTTGAAGCGATGGTTCGATGACAGTGGTGAGACTTCTGCCAACTAAGAAATGCGGCTGTTTATCATCGCTTCCGTTTGGCAGCAAACCGTGTGTAGCTCGTCAAATGTGAGCAGATGAGAGCCGACAGCGCGCCGCAGATAATACTTGGCACGCTTTACTGCGCTTTCCCATAGCCCACCGAAGTGGGGTGACCGTGGGGGCATGAATCTCCATTCTATGCCTTCTCCAGCTAGCGATGATTGAACCTTATCGATGTGCAGTTGCGACGTGAATGCAGATAAAAGCTCTCGCAGCTCTCGATTTGCCCCGACGAAATTTGTTGCATTATCAAAGGAGATTGTTCCACATTTGCCTCTGCGCGCAATGAAGCGCTTTAGGGCGGCAATGAACGATGGTGTGCTTAGGTCTGGTGCCAACTCCAGGTGCACCGCCTTTGTTGTGAAGCAGATAAACAGCGCTATGTACACTTTGAGGGGGCCCTTGCTTCTGATGCGTTGCGTGATCGTCAAAGGGCCGCAATAATCTACATCAGCTACTTCAAAGGGATGAGCGGGTTGCACACGTTCTCGAGGAAGTGCGCCCATGAGCTGTTGTTCCAGTTTGGGTTTGTTGCGATAACACAAAATGCAGTTGTGAATTACCTGTTTGATGATGCTTCGAGCATTGATAATCCAAAATCTATCGCGAAGAATGCTCAACAGAGTTTGGCAACCTGCATGGAGGTGTTGGCGATGAAACGCTTCAATGAGGGTACGCACGAATGGGTGCGTTTTTGGAAGAAGTATTGGATGCCTTGTGGTCCAAGGCAACGATGAGTTCGAAATTCTTCCACCAACCCGGATTATTTCGTCGTGTAGAAATGGCGATAATTGATGGAGCTTAGTACTACGACTAACTCCAGATGTGTGCAGTGTCTTATGATCATCGGCGAACGCTACGAGCTGTATGTATCGACATACTGTCAACAACGAGTCGTCTAGTTCTCTGGCAGTAATCGGTCCAGATTCAACAAAACGATGACGAAGCGACGAAGTAACCCGTCTGACGTAAGCGAAGATACGAAGAAGTTTGCTGTAGCTGTTCACGTACTTATGCTCAGCGATGATATCTTCTTGTAGCGATGATGTCACGGAAAAACAAAGCATTAGTTGCTCTGGAACTTCTTGTAAAGCGTCTACTGGATTGCGTGGCCAGCTGCTACTGTTCTTTGCTAGGAATGCTGGTCCATGAAACCACAAGTTATTACCGATGAGCCCCTCTACTGAAGCCCCACGTGACACCAAATCCGCTGGATTTTCCTCGGACGGGACGTGATGCCATGTAAAGTCAGCCGTGATGCGCCGGATTTTTGCCACCCGGTTAGCTACGAACGTGGTCCAGTGATGTGGTTCACGCTGCAACCACGATAAGGTGATCGTTGAGTTAGACCAGCAGTGTACATTGCTAGGCCGCGTGCTATATGTCTCCAAGACCGACTGAAGCAGCTCTGAGAGTAGCAGAGCGGCGCATAGTTCCAATTTGGGCAATCTGATTTCCCTCATTGGTGCCACTCGTAACTTAGCGCAAATAAGCGTTGACTGCACCGCGTTGTCATTGTGAGAGACAGCATAAATACAGGCCCCATATGCCTTACCGCTTGCATCCGCAAAGGCATGTAGGTTAGTGTTATTGTTAAAGCATACATACCGTGGCACTTTAATGCGGTTGACGAGGGCTAGTTGTTGGCATATGCTCTCCCATTCTGTGCAAATAGAGAGCGGTACACTCTCATCCCATGCTAAACGCAGTTTCCAGAGGTGTTGCATCAAAATTTTGCACTTATCGATGATAGGATTAAGTACGCCTAGGGGGTCGAAGAAACTTGCCACTTGTGCTAATATGGTACGTTTGGTAGCCTTCGGTGAAGTGTGTTGCGACNTGCATCAAAATTTTGCACTTAACGATGATAAGATTAAGTACGCCTAGGGGGTCGAAGAAACTTGCCACTTGTGCTAATATGGTACGTTTGGTAGCCTTCGGTGAAGTGTGTTGCGACGAATTGTACGAGAAGAGGAATTGATCGCTAGTTGTTGACCATTTCAACCCAAGCGCCTTTATGTAGGTCATGCCATCAACTGTGATAATCTCCTCCATGTCCACGCTGGGTATGCCTGCAATAATTTCGCTGCAGTTAGAAGCGAATTTGCGAAGTGGGAAGCCTCCCGATTCTAGTAATGCGGTGACTTCAGATTTTATTCTGATAACTTCTTCTACAGTAGACCCTCCTGTCATTAAATTGTCCACGTAGAAGTCCCGAAGGGTGATTGGAGCTCCTACGGGGTAGCTGCTACTGTTCTTTGCAAGAATGCTGGTCCATGAAACCACAAGTTATTACCGATGAGCCCCTCTACTGAAGCCCCACGTGACACCAAATCCGCTGGATTTTCCTCGGACGGGACGTGATGCCATGTAAAGTCAGCCGTGATGCGCCGGATTTTTGCCACCCGGTTAGCTACGAACGTGGTCCAGTGATGTGGTTCACGCTGCAACCAGATAAGGTGATCGTTGAGTCAGACCAGCAGTGTACATTGCTAGGCCGCGCGCTATATGTCTCCAAGACCGACTGAAGCAGCTCTGAGAGTAGCAGAGCGGCGCATAGTTCCAATTTGGGCAAGGTGATTTCCTTCGTTGGTGCCACTCGTGACTTAGCGCAAATAAGCGTTGACTGCACCGCGTTGTCATTGTGAGAGACAGCATAAATACAGGCCCCATATGCCTTACCGCTTGCATCCGCAAAGGCATGTAGGTTAGTGTTATTGTTAAAGCATACATACCGTGGCACTTTAATGCGGTTGACGAGGGCTAGTTGTTGGCATATGCTCTCCCATTCTGTGCAAATAGAGAGCGGTACACTTCATCCCACGCTAAACGCAGTTTCCAGAGGTGTTGCATCAAAATTTTGCACTTAACGATGATAGGATTAAGTACGCCTAGGGGGTCGAAGAAACTTGCCACTTGTGCTAATATGGTACGTTTGGTAGCCTTCGGTGAAGTGTGTTGCGACGAATTGTACGAGAAGAGGAATTGATCGCTAGTTGGTGACCATTTCAACCCAAGCGCCTTTATGTAGGTCATGCATCAACTGTGATAATCTCCTCCATGTCCACGCTGGGTATGCCTGCAAT